ACATAAAATAGACATTTAATCTTTGAAGAGTTAAAGATTTTAAAGCAACTTGAATTAATCTGATATGCAGAAATTTATAATTGTTATCTTGAGCCTTTAAGACTTATCTTTCAGTTAACAGTTGTAAAATATCTCCATTCTGATCAAAATGAATAATCATTTCAATCGTTTTGATAGTTAAACTCGATTTAAAGTCAAAAGTGCCGATATTATAGATTTTCTTAGTGAGGTACTGGGGTGTATCCTAGTTCTGCAATTTATTTTCAAAATTAGAGAATTTTATCTCTTCCATATTTTTAACATAATCATCTTTATGATTAAATTTAAATTTAAATAGGTTTAAAGTCATAGTGGTATCTCAAAGGGTGTTCTGTCGACTTATATATTTCACTATTACCTTCTTCTAGTAGCTATTGTAATTTTTCTTTTAATTCTGCTACAGTATTACTACTGTGGCCATTGCTACAATAATCCTGGTATAATAATATTTTTAGCATCCTATTGTGGGCAAAATCCTGCATAATGATTATTCTCACCATCCTATTTATATATTTTCAATCATAGCAGTAGTACTGTAGATGTTTTAACATGCCATATTAAACCTTATGGTTATAATTATAAAGATAACACATATATAATTGTGTTTGGATATAGAGTCTATTATAAAGTTGTGAATACTTTATGTCCGAAAGCTAAACTTTTGAACCTTAAATGTCAAACAACTTTAATTAAAACCAACACGGTTAAGAATAAAATTGAAGTTCTTAAAACCATTAAATGGTTAGAAATTCAGTTTTCAGACACCTGACAAATGGAGTATATTGTCCCTAAGAAACCAAAAATAAATGAAGAAATAACTCAGATCGCCCAATCATCCAGGGTGATGTTACGATAATATTTGCTAGAATAAATTCTAGAAATTATTTAAAATCTTCTGACAAATCAGAAACTTCATCGGTGTATAATAATCCTTCTGCACCTTTTTCCCCTTTAAATACACCTTTAAGAAAATCTACTTCCTCGGTCCAAAATCGAAGAAGAGATAAAGAACCCATAATTGAAGGAATTAAAATTTCAAGAAATAATATTCCACATGGTATATATCGACCAATTAATGAATCTTCTCTAGAGGAAGATTATGATCCAACCCCATCCGAAATCGGATTCCAACTATAGTTTCTATGGATTTACACCCAAGAGAATTACAGTTGATAAATGAAACCTGTAATAAAGAATTTTATCTTCCGAAATATGAAAATTTCAAAAATTGGTATTTTAAAACAATGAATTCAGAAGAACTTCAAAATTATAAAGAAATATTTTACCTTTATATAAAAAGGGAAAGAAGGATATTTCATTTTGTTAATTGGTTTTTAAACTATTATGTTCCACATAATACTAGACAGTTAAATGAAATAAAAAATTGCTTTCTAGATATAGAAGAAGTCGAGTTTATAAATGAACTCAAGAAAAAATTAAGTAATATTTCTCAAATAGAAACCGTTGAAAATCATTAGATCAATACTTCTTTCAATGGGGACTATATTCCCTTGTTCAATATAATGACCTAAAAATCTTACCTTTAATTGAAATAGTTTCATTTTAACAACAGAGAGAACAAGTCCATTATTTTTGACAGTTTGAACAAATTTATTCAGATGCTTAAGATTCTAATCAATAGAATTAGAAAAGATCAGTATATCATCAATATAAACAAAACAAAAAGCATAATAGGGATTAAAAATATCATTCATTTTATTTTGAAATTCAGAGGGGGCATTTTTAAGTCCAAATGACATAACATTCCATTCATAATGTCTAAAAGGTACCGTGAAAGTAGTTTTATACCTGTTTTCCTCAGTAATTTGGATCTGCCAATAACCTGACTTTAAGTCAAATTTAGAGAAAATCTTAGAATTATACAATTGAGATAATAAATCCTTTTTTATTAGGGATTGAATATCTAATCCATTGCAATACCTTATTTAAAGGTTTATAATTTATAAGGAGTCTAGGAACTTCTCGCTCCTTTTCAGCAGCATTATTAACATAGAAAGCCGCACACTCCAAGGGGAATAACTTTTCCAAATTAAAGATTTTTCCAATAAAGAGGCAATTTCTTTTTTACATAACTCAAAATATTATTTATTCATTTGGGTTGGCCTAGCCTTAGTTGGAATATCCTTTTCATATCTGCTCCGTTGTCAATTAAAGCAATAGTTTCGACAGAAAATTTAGAATTTATAACTAATATGATTTTAACATACCATTTCTGATAAATTATTTTTTCCAAGACATTTAAGTATTCATTATGTGATGGAGATGCTTTATCATCTTTTTGGAATGTCACTTTCATTAAGGGGCATTCTTTCTAAGGCTAAAAGTCTAGCCTTTATGACTTTTATGTCTTCTTTGATATTATGAATTTATTTCTTTAAGTCTTGAACCGTAGTAGGCAAGATTTCTTTTATATGGAGTGGGTTATCACTCATGTCATTTTCAGTTCTATTAAGAACTTCCTTTAAGGAATACGGTTGAGACAAATTATGTATCTTTTCTTCTAGATTTATCTCTAAATATTGTTCAATAGTTTTTTTTTTAGAATCTGGATCTTGAATTTTATCAATAAGATCAAGAATAAAAGTTTGTGATTTAGTCAAATTATTTATACTTAATCCGTTCATAGCTAGAATAGCTTTATAATAATTGCTTTCTGCTTTACAATTGGAGGAACAAGCTTTATCCTGTTCTAAAGATTCGATTTCTGAAGATGAATTACTAATTTCATTAATATTGTAATTTTCAGAAAAATTATCAAAATTATCTTCTAATTCATTTTCTGAGTTTAATATAATTTTAAATATTTTTTCTTTGAGGTCTTCATCATTAATTAATTCATTAATCTGTTGTTTAGTTTAATATTTGGAAGCAATATGACATTCTTTCCACTCTTAAAACATTTAAGAAGAGGTTTTTTATCTTTAAATTTTTTGGTGGGTTTATCAACCTTTTCTTGTTTCTTAATATAACCCTTTTTATAGAGTTTTCTACCTTTTTTATACGGCTTAGTGTAAGGTTTTCTTTTACTAGAAACCTTGTCTTTTGGAATATCAAGATTATAAGCAAATTGATTACAAAATTTTTCAAGTTCTTTTTTGTCAGTTAATCTTTGTCTCTTAAGTTGAACTTTAAGATTTAAATCATTATAGAGAACTAATCCTTCTGGAATACATTCAGAAATTAATTATTCATAAGTATATTTTTCATAAGGGATTTTAAATCCTCCATATTTTTACTTTAAACGAATTCTGATTTTTTCAGCAAATAAGCTGGGCAAGCCTGATTTAAATTTTTCTTTCCAAAATTCATTATTAGCATCTGGTCTTAATAAGACTTTAGCCAAAAAAATATTTTTATACCACATAAAATATGTTAAGGTGGGACATCTTAAATTCATTAAGAGTTCTTTACTTTTATCAGTGTTTTGAATATTGGATCCAACAAAATATTTTAATATGGTTTGTATTAAAGTGTACACAACATCTTCTTGAGTAATTAAAGTTCCATTTTCTGCTGTTGTTATCTTAACTGCATTTAATATTTCATTTTTTTGAGTTTGATTTAAATAGTTATCCCACCAGTCTCTTAATTGGCCTGTAAATCCTGTGGTGATAAATTTAGCTGTTGCATGATTAGAATTGCGATTAGCTTTGCAAATTGAGGCATACCTTAAAATTTTAAGCAAGACTTGATGAATTACATATTCAGACATACCATCAATATTCCATTCATAAATTGAAGAGGCATCATAACCTTGTTGATTAATAAAAAAATTTTCTTCATATAAAATATCTTGAGGTATTGTCTTTTGATAATAAGTTCTCATTGGTGTAGCTTGTGCATATATATTGGGTTGAGATTTTGGTTTAGAAAATCCAATTTTATTTATTTCTTCAGACTTCATTTGGTGTAGCGAATCTTCACCTCCAAAATCACAAATACAATCAAGAAGTTCTGGAGATTTGACAATACGATCTAAAGAAAATGAATCTGGATTATGATCAATTTCTGGAACTTCTTGGTATTTTCCTGCAAAATAAACATCACTTCTCAAAATGTTAGAAGTTGATGAGAAATTTATTTGGTTTTCTTTATAAATCAGATTTTCTTTTATTTGATTTATCAATTTTATTTGAAGTAAAGTTATAAACTCAAATAATATCTGTTGACCATTTATGGTAGTCAAAATTCCTTTAGAATCAATTGTTTCTATAGGTCCGATTAAAGATAAAAATGGTGTTCCCAAAATCATCAATTGATTTAAATTATCAATAAACATAAAAGTTGTAGGAATACAAATTCCTTGGTTACATACAAAAATATTAGAGAGTTTAAAATTTATATTTAATTTTGAACCATCAGCAATATTTACTGACTGAATAGTTTTCTCAAAATATTTAGTTGGAATTAATCCTGCTTTTATGTTATTCATATCTACTCTACTGTCAATTAAAACAATAGTTTCGACAGTAAATTCAGAATTTATAACTAATATGATTTTAACATACCATTTCTGATAAGTTATTTTTTCCAAGACATTTAAGTATTCATTATTGGATGAAAATGTTTATCATCTTTTTGAAATGTCACTTTCATTAAGAGCTGACTTTATGTCTTCTTTAATATTATAAACTTCTTTCTTCAAATATTGAACCGTAGTAGGCAAGATTTCTTTTATATAGAGTGAGTTAACACTTGTGTGATTTTCAGTTCTATTACTTGCCTACTACGGTTCATGGGAGATTGATGGTGGGGACTGACCTAGACTATACCATTTTTTCTCACAAAGATGATGTATGTGGAACATGACATCACGCCATACTCTTGCTTTACCGTACTAGGAGGGTCTTGCGAGGAAGATCATACGTTGTTCGCTTCCTGGTCTTGGTTTTTTTCAAATATAAAAGGGACATCCTTTTCGTATCGTGCTTCATATATACAAATTAAAGCACTTAGAATTAAGCAAAATGGGTGTCACAATGAGAATTCTAGTGGTGGTGTGCATGGTGATATGTCTTTCTTCAGTTGCACATGCAGCTCAGGGGACTGCCACTTACTATACTCCCCCTTACGTTCGTGAGTATATTCATAAGAAATTAGCAAGAAAATCATATACATCCGACCATTCTCATGTTTCACAGTGATGGAATTCTCGTTTATTGAATTATAGTCATCTATTTTTTCATTTGAGATGGTGATAGACAATGTTGAAATTGTTTTGCAGCCTCTTCATGCTATGGGTACCAAAACAATGGAGTCATGATCGCTGCCGCAAGCAATGCCATATGGAACAATAAGGCTGCATGTGGGACATTTTATAGAGTCAGATGCACTGGCTCTACAAACGTCGGTGTGCCGCAACCTTGCCGGGGTCAGAGCGTCGTAGTTAAAATCGTAGATTACTGCCCGTCGCCGGGTTGCCAAGGAACCATCGACCTCTCTCAAGAAGCTTTCTCCATGATTGCTGACCCTAATGCTGGAAAAATCAAAATCGAATATAACAAGTAAGCTCATTTTATTTAGGAGTGACAATTGAGACATGCAATGTCATATTCAAGTTATGTTGAGTTCGGTCGAATATTAGTCAATCTTAATTTCACATGATTACTTAACTATATTAGACAAAAGAGTAATACTAATGATATAACAGTGATATTTTGTAATAGTAGTTTTGTGACCGTAACTATTAAATTTCTTTATTGAGACTACAAATCATTATTTCAACAAATTAAATCAAATTTTTTGATCTCAATAGCATTACTTCAGACAAAATGACACAAGTTCAACCTATTTATTAATTGTGTCTTATTCAGGTCAATACGAAAAACGGGCAAGTAAAAAATCCAGAATTATGACTCCCTTTTCTGAACTAAGAAGTCATTCATAGGTCCTCTATAAACAATTGAAAATTCATTAGGTCCACATGCTCAGAAATTAGGTAAAAAAAACTTCTAATGCATGAGGATTCATACAATATTAGGTAAAAGAATGAATTTTTTTTTCTTCATACTATATCATCTAAACGGATTTTTCATGTACTAATCAACCGGATTACATTTGATACCAACTAAATCTGTTTATTTTTCAGGTTAATGTATCACGTGATAGGGTTCATGCAAATTAATTTGTCCTGCATCGTTAATTCCTAACCCTAATATGTATTTTTTTTTTGGATATTTGATTGATTTGGGTTTACCAGGTATACTAGCAACGAGTGAATATGTGTGTAACCATCCAATAAAAAAAGAATAAAAAATGTAAAATATGACTCACTTCTTATCATGGAGGTGGTTATGTATGACATGATTGAATGATTTATGAGTTTTAATAGGGCCCATTTGTTGATTTGTTTATGTATTAGTGGACCGTTATACCACGTGACACTGTTGACATGATGTAACGGTTACACATAATATTTTTTCACTAGCAACATGGCTTACAAATTCCTTCTTGTGTTGTGACTTGCAGACTCTGAATCCTAGTGCAATGTGGAAGCTTTGAAAGAGCAAGAAGACAACGTATAAAAATAAGAAGCATGGCATGCGGAATGCATGTTTTTATGAATAATTCCAAGCTGATACTGAGACGACCTGTAAAATGTATCGCTTGATGAAATAAAAGAGACGTTTTCTAGCTTATTATATCTTAGTAGTTTGGTGGTTCTTCAAAATATTTTCAAAAATTATTAATGAATGGATAAATAACAAAAACACATTAATCTGGAACCTAATTGGCAATACGTTCAGCCAGATTCATCGTAAAATAAGCCAAGAAGGCACTGATTCAATGCAATTTTGCCACATTGGAGAGATTAGAACAATGTTGCCTAGGTTTCAGACGGCAAGTATTCCAATAATGATACGATCAATTAATACAGATAACTATTACCTGTTTATTTCACTACAAGAAAACAATGATTTAGCTAGAAAAATTTTCCTACGTAAAAGTTAGAATTTTGTCGATAGAAGTCTTCAACTATAAAATAATTTTGTCACTTTGTTGAGGAATATTTTTCCCGATGAAATCTGATTTCCTAGGTAAAAGGTTGGTTTTGTCGACAAAATCAGATTTTCTAGGTAAACGTTTGGATTTTGCTAAGAAAAATTTACTATTGCATTTGATGGTGCTCGAAATCCTCTTACCCAATTACAGAACAATCTGGGGCAAGGCCTAGAGGAACTCAATAAGTCTTAGTGACAGAAAGTGTGTTAAGTATAGAAAAGAAAATGAAGACAAAAATATGTGTGGTTCACCTCAGCCGAGGGATTGAGGCTACATCTACTATAAGAGAAGACTCTTGCTCCTTGAGGACTATATTGCTTGGGGAAGAAGGTTGTAGTTACAGATGGTTTGGCTGGGAGCCTTTTTCAAGGTATTTCCTAGGTTGTTCGTAATGCTCTCTCTCTCTCTTGCCTTCTCTCTATATATTATATAGTGGTATCATTTTCTATTTATACATCTTATTATTAGGGTTTTGCTGTGGCTCCCTTCTATGGCCGATTCTGTGGTCCCATCCTCATTTGTCCTGTAGCTAAACCTACCACTCTGAGGTTTTTTACACCCACCATGCCTTGAAAGGCATCTCCACTACTGGTGAATATTCATTCATTACAGTCATCAGATATTGTCCCCTTGTCCCTTGTCCATGTGTCGCGATTGAGCTTCCTCTAGTTTGTTTGGTGTCCAGCTTCCAACTCTCGAGCAAATGCCTTTCAACGAGCATGTTAGGGCTGGGCTAGCATCTATTCCGAGCTGGCTAATCCTGGGCTACCACAGAGTCAGGTTGTGGCATAGATTGGATATGGAAAATGCCATCTGGAGGGACGCTTGGGTTGCCTTAGATGAGCCCAAAAAGGTTCTGCGCTTGGAAAGGGGTCAGGCTTAAATCCATCATCATTAGTTGCCCCCCCAGCCCCAGGTCAAAAGGATGATCTTTCAACTTTGTCTTGGGGTTAGGATCATCTTTTCCATCGCAATGATTACTTTTGTAGATGACGATTTTTCATGATTATCGGCGTTGTCTTAATGGTGTATTGAGCTTCCCCATATTTGCTCTGATGGGAGAGACCTGCTAGGAAAGGACACGCGTCTCTTGAAGAGGGTTCCTCCCGTACGACTCCTTTTGTACGTATTTTCTCACGTTAAATCGTGGTAATAAATACTATAAAAGGGGGGAATCATCTTGCCTTTTCAACAATATTTTGAATTCCAGCCTTTTCACGCTCCTTTCTTCTCCTGTACTTTAAGGTGGTCAATTTGTGTTTATGGTGGTTCCAAGTGATCCTAGTTTTCGTTCTTCTGCAAGTCAACTTTTGCTCCTCATTATGTAAGTTTTCTCCCTCTCTTCTTCTTCGTTCTGGATCCCTACAATCGCCACTAGTGGGGCCTCGGGTTCCATTTCATTATTTGGAGGTTTAGCTACTTTCAAAATTACTCTAGTAGTTTTTCTTTTCTTTCGCAATTCATAGATTATTCTCTCTTGTTTAGGTTGTCCTTAGTTAGATCTTGGTGTTTAATCCCTTTGTTTTTGATGGATTGCACTTTGCATCTTCCCACCTTGTATTTCAGGTTATAGTTTGGGCCCCCAATAGGGAGAGTGGTTCTCGATTCTCCTTTCTGCATCCAAGGAAGGGAGCAATGTGGGTGTTGATGAGGTTTTGACTTCCCCTTCTAGTGACTACGTCGAGGAGGAGGTCTCATCTCCCCTTGGTGGAGAGGAGGTTCTTGCTAATGATAACATCTTGGTTAAGGGCGGCCAATTTTCCTTAGCTCTAGCGAAAAAGTATGAGTTTTGTCCTAGGGCATCAAATCTGAGGGACTTGGGATCGATCCCCAAGGTTTCAACTGCAGGACACCCTGCCGAGCCTTCCTTGGCATTGCCCCCCATTTCCAAGAGTCGTACCAAGAATAGGGGTTCCAAAGGCACTTTATCTTCTTCTATTCCTAAAAAGAAAAAGATCTGACGAGACCTATTTGACATTACATATTGTGCCGACTCAACTTTGAGCTATCTTGACAAGGATGACCTAGAGGCTCTGAGGGAAGTGTATTCCTTTTCGGCTTCTATTCTAGTCTATTCTCCTAGAGAGGATGAGAGATGTAATTCCTCTATTCCCAGGATAACCTGTTTCTTCACCTCAGCATTACGTGCTGGCCTTAGGTTCCCTGTTCATCCTTTTATTCGAGACATCCTTTCCTTTTACAATGTGTGCCCGGCCCGGGTTTCTCTAAATGGGTGGGGTTTACTAGTTGGCTGCCTTGTTCCCTTATGCGAGGGTAGGAACACTTCCCCACCTACTATTTACGAATTTTCCCATCTTTTTCAACTTAAATCCTCTACGGCGTTGGGTTTTTTCTACTTTGCCAAGCGAGTGAAGGCGAGGAGTTTGATATCTGGGCTTCCTTCGTCTACTTTGCCTAGAGACATTCCCCAAATTCCTTATTCTTAGGGAATCCCGAGGAACACACGTAAGAGCGATAGCTGAATGTTTGCTTACTAATTGTGGATTTTTTGAGGTTTTAGTCTTAACTTTTTGTTTGTTTACAGGTTTATGTCCTTCTCTTGATGCTATGGAGGTTTGTTGGGTGGCTTTAGCTGAAGCTTATCGTCTTAAGTCTTTTTAGCTCTGGTGACCAAGGAAAAGCTTGCAGAGTACGAACTTGGTCCCCCCTTGGAGACGTTGCTTACCCAGATTGCTAAATCGTTGCCAGTAGAGCCCTCTGACCAGATGGATCATGACCTCATTATGGCATCCTTTACAGATGAGAAAAAGAGAAAGAGGGGGAACTAGGTGAAGGCTTTCAAGCTCCCTCCCTAGAAGAAATCGACGTCGTCAGATGCCACCTTGGAGTAGAAGAGTGAGGATCTAATCTCTCATAAGAGTGGTCTTCCTCCTTCCTTATCCCTCGAGCCGCTAATCAAAGATGGACGTAAAGTGGAGGGAGACGAGCCCACCAAGTCGCCGTCCAAGGGTGAGCCCTCGACCAAAAGGATCAAGCTTCCAAGGTTGTTCTTATTCTCTCCCTCCGTTAACCTTCTCGGAGGGAAAAGAGAGCGGGCGGGATCTTCCCCAAGCGGGTATTCAAGATAGTGGGTTCCTACGCAATTTTGTCGCAGTTGTAGATGCATTGGCCGAGCTGGTCCTAACCTCAGACCCTGAGGAAGTTATGAAGGTTAGCTTTGAGAGGAAAATCAAACACGTTAGCTGAGGTATCACACTCTTTTATTGACCCCTTTTAAATATTGTCTCTAGATCCCTTTATTTCTCCTTTACGTTATTTATGTTTTTGCTGTCAGTCTTTGGCATGCATCAAAATGATGGAGTTTCATCATGGGCACGTTTTGACCCTACTAGCTGGCCAGTCTTCTGAGAAGGCTCTCTTGAATTCTGAACTAGAGAAGCTCAAACTTGTTGAGCGGCAGCTCAAGGCTGATCTGAATGCAAAGGAGTGTGAGCTAGGAGGTGCATTAGAAGCCGTTGATTCTGCCAAGGAGGGAAGATGTTTAGCTGAGGGGAAGATTATTGTCTTGGTTACCGAGGTGGTAGAGTTAAATAAGGCCTATGCCAATTTACACTAGCTACCAGGATTCTGTAAAAGGGAAATACGCCTAGCTGAAAGCGAAGGATGATGAGCTGAAGGCGAAAGAGGTTGAGCTAAAATCCAAGGACGAGTACCTACTTCAATCCTCTGATCCATTTTCTTTAGCTTTCTGATACCCAAAGGGAGATTTTCTCTGATGTTGAAGTCAGTGAGATCGACGTAGCGGGGGTTAAGGGGCTTTCTAGTCGCTATGGCTTTTCCAGCGAGATGACTGTCCATGCCATAAAGCATCATCCCTACCACTTGTCTTTGGGCAGCTAGGTTTGCTTTTTCGAGGCTCCCTTCCAACTGGGCCTTAGGTTTCCTCTTCCTCCCTTTGTGAGGGAGGTTTTGCACTTCTTTAGCTTTTGTCCTGCCATATTGTTATTGGCAGGGTGGGTTGTTCTGTTGGCGTTCCCGGTGCTGTGGGAGCGTCTATTCATGTGACCACGTGCCACTTTGTTGGAGTTTCTTAGTCTATTCATGGGTTCTACTATTTTGCTGGGAGGAGAGGAGGAGAAACCCTAATTCTCGAGCTTCCTTTTGAGCCTAAGGGTTGGAGGAGGAGGTATTTTTTGGTATCTAGAATAGGTTGGGAGTTCGCTTCCCAAATGATCTCGTTGGTTCGAGTTCCCACAGTTTGGGGGTGGCGTGCTCATCTTGGTGAGTTCCCCTACCTTAGTGAGTTCCTTTATACTGAGCTGCCTATTCTAGGCTTTTGAGGCTCTAACTTGGCTTCCCTCTCTCCGTTTCTATTGTTGTTGTTTGTTTGTTTGTTTTTTTTTTTGCAGATGAATACCCAAGCTTAACTGGAGACGCGTGATCCTGGGTTGATTAGGCTAGGGCTCAGCTACCCTTTTTGTATGCTGAGCTGATAGGCCCTGATTCGTCTAACGTCTCGAGCCATAAGTGCCTTGTATCCATATAAGGTTTGGTAGCCTCATCTATGATGACCTTTCCTGATTTATTTCTCAACTGTCTTACATCTCCAGTTCCCACATACTTGGTTAGCGAGAGGGATGTGATTGTGGAGCAAGTGGGTCAGAGGAGTCTAGCACAAGCCCCAAGGCCTCCTACAAAGAGGGCGAGGGTTTTTGAGGATAGCCCCTTGTCAAATTCTCCTGCCATGCCCTTGATTTTGCCCAACACTAGGGAAGTCACGGTCGGGGTTGTGTTTATTAATCCCGAGATGGGGCTAGTTAGACATGGGTCTTTTCTTGGGGGTGTAGAAGGCTCCAGCTTGAAACGTCCCGAGCCAGTTGCAGTCAGCGGCCTTGGGATGAATCTCTTGGACAATGTGGCCCGAGGTAGCCGAGCCTTTATAGAGCTGATCCCTTAGATTAACCTCCATTGTTCTTTTAATCATCCTTTTAGGGCGAGATCTTGAGATTCCTTGAACACTCTTCTTGAGGTGGAACTTATCGTTTTTGTCTTCTCTAGCTTTAATTGTGCAATTGTTTATCCATCTAACTGGGTTTTAGGTCATGATGCATGTTTGTACATTCGATGAAAGATCCATTATCTGAGGGTGGAATCTCAGAATAGGGATGCTAGGCTTGCTGAGCTATTGCAGTGGGGCTCAAAACTAGAGGTTGAGCTGGTTGTGACTCTTGAGCAAAGAGCCCAGGTCTTCTGGCAGTTGATCACTGCTACCACTTCAAAGTCTTTCTGTGAGACTAGCTGAGTCAGCAATTGGATGAGGTGGTCAACTCCCAAGCTGACAACATTGTGCTAATAGCCCAGCTAGCTGAATCTCGAGTAGTAATAGTCGATTTGGAGGACTCCCTAAGCTCGAAGCGACGACTGGTCGAAAAGTAGGGAAAGAAGATCATGAGGACAAAGAGGGAAACCGCAAGCCCTAGAGAAATTCCCTAACCTTGGCCTTGATCAATTTGAGCCTCGATTCCTTTCTGCTTCTGGATGCTCATCTGGATAAGGTGATGTTGTCTGCCTTCCTCTAAGCCTTGAGACCCTCTGTTCCTTGCCCCTTTTTTTTTGTTTGTACTTGTTGCACATATGTTTTTGAAATGTAAGATGTAATCTTTCCCTCGTTGTTGGAATGGAAACCACTTAAGCTTTCTTTTAAATGTTGTTGGGATGTTTTATATACTCCTTGCCCCTACTTCAAGTAGGTCTTCACCTCGTTGGAGTATGGTCTTTGAAAATATCTTTAGGTTTGTGAGCTTTTAAACTTTGTTTCGTTGTTTGTGGTATGCCGATTGGTTTGGCTGCTCTTACTTGTTTTCCGAGGTGGTGCTGTCTCGAGCTATATGGTTCCCCAGGTTCTTGGTTGTGACTTTATCATTTGCCCCTTGTGCTCAAGCTAGTTGGTTCTTGGTTGTGAGTTGTCTCAGGCTGAGTTGTCTCGAACAATACCATAAGGTACCTGATCTGGGCATTGAGCCCTTCACTCTTGATAAGGCTTGTGCTCGAGTTTTACTGCCTCGGGCAGAAGTGTGTGAATTTAGGAGAAAACATGTTGAATGCATCGATATTCATGCCCACCTAACTCCACCTAACTTCGTCTTTGGCACCCTTTATTAATTTCTATCATAAAGCCTTTTTACTGAAGAAGTCTAATGGTTGCCCTTTTGCCTCCATAAGTTGCCTATCTAATTATGATTATCGATCCAGGGTATGCTGTCTTTTTGTTTCCTAATGTTATTACTGCACCTGAAGTGGTTTAAGTTAGGAGATGATACCATTTCCCTGCTGGCTTGGTCATTCAAATTCTTACTCCTAATGAACCTTGCAACATTTTTCTCTGGAGGGAGGTTTGTGTTTTTGAAGGCGCATTCGATTTGGGGTTCTGTTTGCCATTCATTTGTCTATAGGGCTGATTCTTGCCTTTTTTGGGCTCTTCCATTCACATCTTTCTCTAGAGGGGTGGGGCATCCTTGTGATTTTCTTCTTTTTCTGGCATATGCATGGTCATGACCACTTCCCCATTGTTTATGAGTTTCTTTATTTCTTTCATTTTGACTTTGATTTCCCTTCTTGTTACTACTGGTTTACGTGGCGATTTCATGTCCCCCTAGCTCCCCTGAGGGGTGGTCGCAACATTTTTTCTTCATCTCTGGGGATTCTTGGGAGTTCGTCGAAGCATGATCGGACCATTCTCGAGTTCCTCGCTCTTGGGGGCGTATCCTAGAGAGGTAAGGAAATCATTTTGCTCTTCAAAAGTAGTAAGGCTCCCTCATCTAGTAACATCCACTTTGAGACTAACAGTTTTTACACTGATGCAGATGGTCCTAGGCTGACCCCTAAAGAGATTGTCAGGGTCTGCCGACTTAGCTGTGCCGAGGTGGTTCACTTCTCCACTTTGGTTATAGCTTAGAACCTTTTTCAATTCGATCTTGGACCTGAATCAGCTGTCATCCTTGTTGCTACTTTGACTCTCCTTCTCCTACCATCGATGTGAACTCTTCTTCGGTGGACCTGGAAAAGAACACGGCTACCTCCTCGAGGATGAAGAGGAAGAGAACGCATGATTCTTCTTCGCCAAAGCTGTCAGACTCTTCTTTTGGTGAGAAAAGGGTCATAGATTGCGAGCTGGAGATGACATTTGGGAAGGTGATGCTGAAGAGACATTTTTTTGATGCCAAGAAGAAACGGGAGGAGTTGAAGGCGAAGACTGCTCGGTTGTGAGTGGAGAACGCGCGGCTAGGGGAGAAGGTCATAGAGCTGAAGAGGAGGAACAAAAAACCATGTACTGAATGTGACGTGGTTTCTCTTTTTGTTCTTTTCAAATTTTTGTTTCTTATTTGTTGTTGTCATGGTTATTGTTGTGTGCCTATTTTCTTTGAAGTCTTTGATGAGGTGATTGTCATGTGTGCAACCAGAGCTAAAAAGCTCTTAGGCCGAAATGCCTAGTTGAGGTTGCGTGACTGAGGAGCTTACACATTTGGAGAGTTGAAGAACTCTTTGAAGGCTAAAAGTCGAGCTGAAAAGCCTAGTCTAGGTTGCACAGCTGAGGAGCTCACGCCTTTGGAAATTTGAAGAACTCTTCGAAGGCATCTACTGTACAAGTTTACTCGCTAGAATTTCAAATTTCATTGATTAGGAACTTGGTGTTTTACAATTGTTCTTTCACTTTCACATTGCATCATTGTTCATGATTCTATTGGTAATATTGCTTCAAATAATCCGCATTCTAGGAGTATTGCAGGTCCTTCTCCTCTTCAGTTTGTAGTTCATAGTTGCCAGGTCGGACCACCCTTTTCACAATGTATGGGTCTTCCCAATTGGGACTAAGATTTTGGTGTGTGGGGTCTTTCCTTGTTGGAAGAAGTTTCTTGAGAACCAAGTCGCCTAGCTTGAAACTCCTTTTCTTGACCCTTTGGTTGTAGTATCGCGTGGCGTTCCTTTGGTAGGAGAAGACTCTTTGCAACACTTCATCTCTCTTGTCGTTTAGGAGATCAAGGTTGGTAAGCAGAGACCTGTCATTCTGCTCGGGATCGAAGAGCTCAGCCTTGGCTGAGGGAAGTCTAACTTTGACAGGGGTCATTGCCTCTGTCCCATAAGTAAGGCTGAAAGGAGTCTCATTAGTGGTTTTTCATACCGTGGTTTGGTAAACCCACAACACCATCGGAAGATGATCGACCCATTGGGCCTTAGAAGTTTCTAGTCTTGTCTTCAATGCTTGTTTAATAGTTTGGATGGTGACTTTTACTTATCCATTTGATTGCGGGTGTGCGGGTGTCGAGAAGTAATTCTTAATACCTAACTCTGCGAAGAAGCCTGTGAACCTCGAGTTATCAAACTGTTTTTCATTATCAGAAACCACGACTCTTAGGATGCTGAAACGACAGATTAACTATTTTCAAACGAAATTCTTCACCTTTTACTTAGCAATTTTTGCCAACGCCTTGGCTTCTGCCCACTTTGTGAAATAGTCCACGACTACTATTGCAAACTTCACTGCCCCACGCCAATTGGGAGTGACCCTAGAATGTCTAGCCCCCATTGTTAGAATGGCCAATGACTGACCACTGACATGAGTTGCTCAGGGAGGGGGCAGTGTGGTAGGTTTCCATGGATCTGACACGCCTAACCTCTATTTACTATTTCTTTGGCATCTTTTGCCATCACGGGCCAAAAGTAACCTTGTCGTAGTGCCTTGTTGGTGAAAGTTCGCGCTTTGATATGGTTCCCACATAGCTTTCGTGGATCTCCCTTAGGATATAGTCGGCCTCGAGCTCAGTGACACATTTCAATAGGGGAAAAGAAAAACCTCGATTGTAGAGTTTACCTTACACCATGATGAATCTCACTGCTTTGGTTTTTAGCTTGGCCCCTTCCTTCTTGTTGTGTGGGAGATGTCTGCCCTGTACGAAGAAAGTGATAGGATCCATCCACCAAACATTCCCGTCCACCGACATGACTTGATCTTCATCGAGTTGGACGCTTGGCTGGAGCAGGATCTCCATAGGCGTTATCCTCGGCAAATCCTGTTGGGCCGCTGTAGCCAGCTTGGCTAGTGCATCTGCTCGATCATTTACTTCTCGGAGAATTTGAACGAGCTCGACGACCACAAATCTTCTTAGCAAGCTTTACACCTTCCTCGTGTACAAAGCCATTTTTTCATCTCGGGCCACATATTCTTCTTCCACATGTCTGACTACCAGCTAAAGTCACTTTGGATTATGGTCTGTTGTGTTTCCATTGACAAAGCCAAGTTAAGACTTGCTATAAGGGCCTCGTATTCAGCCTCATTGTTGGAAGCTTGAAAGTTAAATCTAAGTGCATACTCGGGGGCTATAGCCTTCTCGAGAAATCAAAATAAGGCCTGCTCTGCTCCCTTGAGCGTTTGAAGCACCATCCACATACAGCGTCCAAACCGGGATGTCCGTAATGAGATCAAGATTCTCGGGCTGGTCTTCTGATAGGGGATGAACTTGGCAAGGAATTTTGCCAGTACCTGGCCTTTGATTGCCATTCTTGGTTTGAACTTGATATCAAACTCAGTGAGTTCCATCTCCCATTTCACCAGTCTCCTAGATGCCTCTGGTTTGTGCAGAACTTGTCTCATAGGTTGGGTAGCCGGAACCTCAATGGTATGCGCTTGGAAGTAGGGTCTCAATCTTCTGATAGCGACGAGAAAACTCAGAACGAGCATTTTCATTTTGGGGTATCTCTTCTCGGCTTCTCTGAGGGCTTTACTGTAAAAATAAATGGGATGTTGTACCTTTCCTTGTCCTTGACTAAGGCAGCGTCAACTAAAAATTTAGATACAACGAGGTGTAAGGTTAGGATTTCTACTTCTCTCGGGCTAACCAACACTGGGGGCGAAGCCAAATAGGTTTTCAAGGCTTGGAAAGCTTCCTCGCACTTTTCATTCCATTGGAAAATAGCCTCTAAAACTTTGAAAAATGGATAGCACTTATCATTGGACGGTGAAACAAACTGATTGAGCGCTGCAATTCTCCATGTAAGGTGTTGCACTTCCCTAGTGTTAGTCGGTGACTTCATGTCTAAAACTAATCACACATTCTCGGGGTTCGCTTCGATGCCCCAGCTGTTGACGATGAATCCTAGAAACTTTCCTATCGATACTCCGAAAGCACACTTGGCTGGATTCAGCTTCATCTTGTATTGCCAAATGATTTCAAAGGATTCCTAAAGGTGCTAGATGTGGAGCTCGGATTTAAGAGACTTGACCCGCATGTCGTTGATGTACACCTCCATCGTCGAGCCGAGCTTCCCTTGAAATAAGTAGTTGACCAACCTCTGGCAAGTGACTCCTACATTCTTCAATCCAAAGGGCATGACTTGGTAGCAAAAATTCCCTTGCTTCGTGACAAAAAAAGTCTTTTCTTGGTTGTTAGGGTCCATTTTAATTTGTTATATCCGGAGAAGGTGTCCATGAAACTAAGGAGCTTGTGCCCCGCTGTGGCGTCAATTATAAGGTCGATCCTGGGTAAAGGGAAACTATCCTTGGGGCATGCGCGATTTAGGTCAGTAAAGTTGATGCACAAACGCCACTTCCCATTGACCTTTTTAACCAACACTATGGTGGCTAGCCAAGTCGGGTAGTTGACCTCCCTAATGGCTTTAGCCCGTAGTAGTTTAGCCATTTCTTCATCTGTCTTTCTGGGGTGAAGCTCCTCCTTTTTTGTCTAACGGGCTTGCAGTTAGAATTCACACTGAGTCAGTGAACTATTACCCTAGGATCGATCCCCTCCATGTTTTCCTTATTCCAACCAAAAACATCAACATTCTTTTTCAGGAAAATAATAAGCCTCTGTTTCATGTCTTGGGGTAGCATAGAGCCTACAAAGACCACATGCCTTGGGTCTTCATCAACCTGCACTAGCTCTACCTACCCTAACAGTGTAGGTCAGGTCTCGATCTCATCCATCATCTAAGTTTTCTAACTGAACATATTCTACCTCCTTCTACCTCATGGATGCTATATAGCATTCTTTGGTAATGCACTGGTCACCCCTTACTACCCCTACTCTGTGTTCTATTAGTAACTTCATGACCAAGTGATACGACGAAGGGATGACTCTGATGGAGTTGAGGGAGGGTCTACCAAGAAAGATGTTGTAGGCGGAAGGTGCATATACCACTAAGAAACGAACTGTGGTGGTAATCTGGCAAGGGTGATTTCCCAATGTAAGGACGAGCTGTATAGATACCATAGGCAGGACTCTCTCTCCCGAGAAACCCAAGAGATGGGTCCTTACAGGTTCGAGCCTCGACTTTTCTACCCCGAGCTTTTCGAATAGCGAGAGAAAAATGATATCCGTCGAATTGCATTATCTATGAGGACGCGATGTATATTTTTGTTAGTAATTATGGCTTTAATGACCAAGGGGTCATCGTGTGGGAGTTGACATCCCTCTAGGTCAGCGTCCAAGAAAGTTATCTCCGGGTCTCAACGTGGGGCCTTTCGAATCGTCTGGATATCAAGGAAATCGTCTGACCTAGCCCTCCTGGCGTTAGCTCTTCTCCTCGAGCTTGATTCACCTCTTCCTGAAAAGCCCCCTGAGATGACCCTTATCTCACCTTGGGCCTGTTTGTGCTGCTGCTGGGGTGGCCATACAGCTCGGTCGTCCTTATCTCGCTCTTTCTGATCTATTCCTTCCCCCACCATGTAATATCGCAAATGGCCTCGTTGAACTAGATACTCTATCTCCTTCTTCAGCTAGATACAGTCGTCAGTATCATGACCAATGTCTTTGTGAAATTCACAATACTTGGTGGGATCGCTTATTTGGGGGTCCCGACTTCATCCTTGGCGCCCATTTGACGAATCTCTCATTTTGAACTTGGTGGAGGACTTGAGAAGTGGTGGCATTTAGGGGGGTGAGCCTGGCTGGTGCATATCGTGGTTGAAGCTCCTGAGGTGGTGGGCCAAGACGGTCCTTGACATTTTTCCTTCTCTTTAGGGAGGGTTCTTTTTCTTTCCTTGGGGACCGGTCTCTCCTTGGGGATTGGTCCTTCCTTTTCTCCCTTCTTGGGATGCATTTCTTTTCTTCTTCTCTCCCTCACTTGACATTGACAATCTTCCTTTCATGTGAAGGGCCTCCTCTCTGTTTACATATTTTTCAGCCTTGGTGTGGACCTTTGGCATTGTTGCCTGAGGATTTTTGGCGGTTGAAAATAACAAATCCTTGGATTGGAGGCCAATCCTAGACATG